AGAGTCATTGGGGTGAAGTTTTCCCTTAAAATCAAGGATGTCTACCTTAATATTGCTGTTCCAAAAAGTTTGACATTAGTCTCGATAGTTTCCAGTAGATGATGAACTGCTGCTACTAGAATCTCCTTCTACGTTTTCTCTATTAGTGTCTAACAAGGCTGCATTTCTATCGTAGCATCCAATTCTCGTATCCTATGTCTCTTCTCTTCCATCTCAATGTCATACACATTCTTACAATCTTAGAGCCATCTTGGGGTGTTTTTTGTAAGGTTAAGACTTTGGAAAAGCAAATATAGAGGTATAGGGTGGAAAGGAAAATTTCAAGAAGATTGGGGTGGTAATGTAATTTTGGGTAATAATAGGGCCAAAATAGAATTTTTGTAAAATAAAGGGTCAACTAGTAATTTTCAATAAACATAAGGGCAAAATGGAATTTTTTGTAAATATGAGGGGTCAAGTATAAATTTCAAAAAATATAGGACCAAAAGACCAAAATAGAATTTTCAAAAGTTTAAGGGCCAAAATGGAATTTCAAAAAGACAAGGGTCAAAATGAAAATATAAAAAAGTTAGGGGTCAAACTATAATGTTAGAAAATAAGGTTGATTGGGTAGAATGACGTGGCTATAGTAACAAGTGGCGAAATATAGTTGGTCTAACATGTCGTTGATTGGTTATAAATGTGACGTGGCAATAACGTTAGCGTCTTCAACCTCCAACAGGCGCGTGCAGTATGTGTAATGATGGTGACAGAGCGTGGTCTTTAGGTGATGGTGTGTGACATATTTTTTGATGATGGAAAATCTCTTGTTCTACATTCTCAGACCTCCTAAGAGTGACGATATATTAGTTTTTAGAAAAAAATGTCTAGATTGCAAGTTTCGAAGACGTTAGGGACTCCTTCTCTGAATCTCTCTCTTCTCCGACGTAATTTATCAACTCTCACCTCACTCTCGCTCTTTGTACCAGCTCTAATATCAAAATGGTTCAGAAACTGAATGGAAAAATGAACTCTTATTTATTTTTTTTGAAAAATTGCTACCATTACATTGAAAACTGTGCCATATTTATACTATCATGGGCAAACAAAAATAGAAGGATTAAAATGAAGGTTACACATTTTAGAAATTGATTTTGAATGTTATTACACTATGCCCTATTTATACTACCATGGGCAAACGAAATCAAAATGAAAACTTAACGACGTTCCTAAGCTTCAACGGATGACATTAATGTGCGCAGCATTCATCCTTCTATTTCCACAACTCTTGTTTCCGTTTCAACAACACTCAAATATGACTTAGTCAAATAATTATAATATATATATATATATATATATATAAAAAGAACTAAGCAGTAAGCACCCACATGTGAAATTATTATCAGTTAGGTCCATTACAAGTGCTGGGACCATTACAAAGGAGGAAGAATTGGAGTAGAATTTTTTCAATTAAATTGCTACATATAACAGGGTTAAGACTTGAACTTTAAACCACTTGTTTTAATGACGAGACTCTCCATGACTTATGTTAATTTTAGTTGGTCATAATCACTTTTTTTCAAGATTAGTATTGCCTCTAATAAATATCAATCTATATCTTAATTATATTACTTTTAATTTTTTCCTTGTATAATCTCTCTCTTGAATACAATTAATAAAAGCATTAGGAAAAAAGAAGAATCCAATGCTATTGATTGTTTTTTTATAAAGTATTCTATATTTTAGACTAATTAACACCAAGTCTATAATCGGTAAAAAATGTTCTACATTTTATTAATGCGGAGAAAGTAGCACTGATAGTCATCCTGATTTATGTCGTCTATTATTTAAATTTTACATGATATTACTTGAAGAAATTGTTATTAGTTTTCAAGTGGAAGACGGCTAGGCTAGTTCTTAGAAGGACAAATACAGTTGGAGAAATTTTATATCATTTAATAATTATTTATTATTAAAATTAAAATGAATATTTATTGATTTAAATTAATCTTTTATCTACAAGTATCTATTTATGTTTTAATAATAAATTATTTTAAATCAATAACAGTTTATTTGGGTCTATTTTTCTTTGAATTTTCATAATAATATAGTCCTTAATTGATATAAATTTTTTTTAACGGTCCTTCATTACTATTTTCCCTTCTTAGAAATGTTTAAAAAAAGAAAAAATATAACTTTGAGTCTCTGTACTTTGCTCGAGTTTTGTTATAGATTCCTGACTTAAAACACTGAAAAATAAAAATGTTTGGATTTAAATTATCAAAAAGAAAATACAAGGACCTACAATAAAGCTCGATGGAAACCCAAAGTAATTTCTTTCATACAAAAAAAAAAGGCTCACGAGCATGATTGTTAAATTCTTGAATTGACTCTACGAGTTTAATGTTTTTATGTTTTCAACTTACAAAATCATGTTAACTTACTCATAAACTCAGATTAAGTACGAACTCAGTTAAATTCACAAGTTTACCTTTGAGTTTATGTTTTTAACTTATAAAATCGTGTCAATTAATTCATAAACTCAAACTGAATGCAAACTTGGTCAAAATTGTTAAACTCGTTTTTTTTTTTTTTTGAGTTTAACAAGTTAAGTATATATTATAAAAAATTTAATTTATAAAATTTATAAGACCTGATTCAAAAAAAAACTTAAAATGAAAAAACTAATATTAATAAAAAATAAAAATATCAAAAATAAGTTTTTCTATTTTAAATTTTTTATATCTTATATATGATAATTTATCAGTATAGATGAGTTTAATTTTAATTATTTATATTTTTAATATATTTAAATTAAATTATAATTATATTTTAATGGTTATATGTTGATAGAAATAAACACTTATAAATTTATAATTTAAATTTATGATATGAGTTTATATGCTAATCACAAATTTTTTTAAATTTAAGAGTTTAACAACCTTGTCCGTGAGCAACAAACGACTATGACCGCAAAGCAGCGCAGATTTAGGAGCTCCTCCAATTATTGATGGTTGCTTTTTGGCCTGATGTCGAGGACCAATGAAACTTTGCGAATGTCGTTACCAGAACGTCATGTGAATGCGATTCATGTGAATGTGCTTTGGGGACTGACGACCGAGTCGGCGGTGATCTGCTGAATTACTTTTCTAATATATTCAATATATTCCTTTTTTCATGTATTCAATTCCCTCCCGGCCAGGCTATATGACGTTTTAATTTTTAGAAATTTCACTTCATTCAAAATATAAAATATTAGATAAATTTTATATATTTTTTCAATTGTCTTTTATTATATTGTGCTTAAATAATTAATGAGAGTATTTGAATAAATCACATATTATATTTATTTAACTTGAGGGTAGTATTAAAAAGATGTGAAGTTTTTTGAAAAATCAAGATTTTAACAATTTTTTTAATAATATAAATTAGTTAATGATTCATATTATGGTTTGGAGGGAGTAATTCATTTAGATTTATTTATGTTTTTTTGTAAAAAGTTTTCAAGGTTAAAAGAATTTTTTTAAAAATACAAGGCCACAGAAAAAAATGTGTAGAAAGATATAAAAATTAAGTCATGTTAACTCTTTCATCCTTTATATAATTTATTTTAGATATTTTTTTATGTAGATTAACAAAAATTTATATTATTTTATTTGTTAAAAATATTCAATTTTTAATTATAACCTTATAAATTAGATGTATATAAAATTTTTATGAAAAATTTAAGCAATAGAAGATTAGGATAAACTTCATTATTTTTGCAAATCAAGCTCATGATACTTTTTTTAAGTTACAAAAATACCATTAAAACTTGCTGGAAAGATAAAAATGGATCATTACTGTATATTTTTGTAAGATATTTAATAATTGGAATCATACATTTGTTGTTGTAAAGCACATATATGAGGGACCACGGATGGGATATTATAATGTGAACAAATTTCTGTAACCAGGCTATATAATTGTTTGTGAAAACTAATCGCCCACGTGATGCTACGAGGAAGGCGTGGGTATATTTTTTAATTGGAGAGCCTATCACAACCAATTTTGAAAGCTCTATTTTTTATCCCAAATTGTTTTCGTAACAACACCCCCATGTTCTAAATTTTTTAGCATAACAATGTCATTCTTAAAGTAATTAAAAAAAAGCATTATTATCCCTGACATTAAATAAGCAAACATTGATCATTAATTTTACCAGCTTAAACTTAATATCAAAGATAACATTGCTATGAATTACTTACTTTAAGCGTAACATTATTATGATTTGAGTCAGTTTTTTTTCTTAACTTAACAAAGTTAACAGTTAAGATTTGCTCATTTAACATAAGGAATAATATTGTTATGATTTAATTACTTCAAAATTAATATTATTATGATAAAAATTTTAGGATATTAAACATTTTTATGAAAAGTAAATGGAAGAAACAATATGCCTTACTTTTTAGTACTATATATGATGGGGGATAATATTAAAGTTTTGACAATGTGCGGAAAGGACAGCTTTTTCAATGAGGCAGATCTCCATCGATTTTAATAATTAATTATTTCCTTCCAATTTTTAATAAAAAAATAACAAAATTATATGAGGAAAAAATATTTTTACAAATGATATATTTAATGAGGGTAAATTAAAGTTTTTTTTATAACTTCAATAATCTAACTGCTACTCATTTTGTGAGATAGTCTCTTTGACTCAAAATATAAGCAGTTTTCATTAAAAATTCACATGCAAATAAATTCATCATTTTCATAAAAATATAAATTGGTTTTCCCTTTTATTTTAGTCTCAATTACTAATATATTTCATCATGAGTGAAATAAATTTATAAAAGGATTTATGTTAATAAATAGAAGGGTAAAATGATAATGTTCTTTTTACATATACTAAGTTCCTTATATTTTAAATTAAAATTAGTTAAAAAATACTTATATTTTGAACTGAGGGAGTAATTAAAAAGATTTTATAAATAGGATTAGGAAGGAAGTATACTACTTAGAGCCATTATATATATATCCTTTACATCCATTCATCTTCCTCACTCTCGTCTTTTTCTCTCGCTCTCCAAATTCATTTTCAGAGCTTTCGTGCTGCATCAAAGGATTTGGGATCGTCTTGAAGATCACATTATCAGAATTTCTTCTCAGTGGTAAGTAATTCATCCTTGAGATTTAAACACTTTTGCGTCTTTCTCCTCCCACTATTGACCATGAAAGTTAAAATTCTTGCATTAGAGTACGGCTTTGAACGTGAACGCTCAAGCATGCATGGTTGTTTATATATATATATATATATATATAACCATGTACTTCAATCTCTCTCTCTCTCTCTCTCTCTCTCTCTCTCTCTCTCTATGTAGACACACGCACACGCATATTGTTATGAAAATGAAACTGCAGTGTTCGGCTTCAATGCTCATTGTTGGATTTCAATTGCAATCTACATGGAGATAGTTTTCCAATTACAATAGTTGGATCTCATCAATACTTAAAAATTATCAAGAAATATGTCTCCCAAAAAAATTCAAACCAATCATCAGGATTAGAGCATTCTTTACACACATCTCTTCTAAAAATTTGAGATTTGATACTTTCAAATATTATATGCCAAAATGTCTAACAGCTGTTTAATTAAATTGAATGATTATTATCATATCATGTAAAACACTCATTAAGTGAATTGACTTAAGCTACTTACCAAATCCAAATCTCTTTTTTTGTTCTCCTCATTACATTACATGTGAATTCTTTCACCGATCTCTTTATTTAATCTCATTAGTATATTTAATTATTTGTTTGATTTGATAATGTAAGATTGTTAATTGTGACATTAGATTAAATATATTATCCATGTAAGTGATCTTATTTTTTAAATATATGTTAGTGATCAATATGTACATGTAACCATTAAATATAAGATTGTGTATGGACATATGTACAAAAAAAGACTATAAAAAGCTGGGAATAAAAAGAGTATGAAATAAAGATCCGAACCTCTCTTTATGTGATTGTACATCGAATTCCCCGATCATTTATACTCTATCCTATATTAGTTCCTACGTTTTAATATATATATATATATACACACAACACACGCTCTCTTCATCCTATCTTTCAATAAAATAATTACATATTTTTAAATTAACTTTATTTGTTTCATATTTACTCCTATTAAACACCCTATAATAAATATCAAGTCATTATCAATATGGGTACTTTTTTAAAAAAAAGACAATGATTACACCTCAACAGATTAAAAATGTTTTACATTTTTGAACATCCAACTCCTCAAAAAATACCTTATATTTTTAAATGAAGAGAGTATATATATATGTATGTATGTATGTATGTATTGCTGACTAGTCAACTATGGCAAACTAGGACAGCTCGTGTATGAAGAAAAAGTAAGTAAATAAATAAATAACTAAATAAAATGAACAAACCTTACTTATTCCCCTTTTGATAGGCGATCCACTGGTTTCAATGTAATTCTGCCGCACAATGCAAGTGACGGGAAAGGGTTCAGGCCTTCAGGGCCCGATATCTTTACATCTGGTTATTTTTTTTTTTTTGGCCAAAAAAAATCTCATGGATATTTAGGATATCACAATTCTGTAAGTTTGACTTCCTGAAAATAAATATTTTCTTTATTATTTATTTGTTTCTTTCCTTCATAAATAATTGTATTTCAATTTTTATTTTTTTGATAAAATCCCATCTCATTCTTATTTATGATAACTGCATGTAATTGATTTGCAATAGTATCAGAAATTGGTTGCGATGATGTCTATTGAATGCTATCCTGTGGGTTTCTGTTGATTCCACAGCTTCTCGAAATAGATTTTTCACTGTAATAACAGTAATTTTCTCTCGAATTAAAAAGATACTACACAACAACAAAATATATCAATTTTATTTTTTTAAATAAAAATAATTAACATGAAAATAAATGTTAAGATGATACTTTATAAAATTAATAGTGTACTTTTATTTATATGTTAATTTTCTGTCAAATCCCTCCAGGCAAAAAAGCAACACATCTTACTTTATTTATTGTAAAACGGTTGGTCCAATTTTCTAATTTCCAATTTTTAATTCCCAATCTTTTCTTCATTTCTTGTGAATTTTGTAGCACCTATGTCATCACCATCAGATAAATCTGATAGTTGGAAACTAAGTGCATCTTGCATAGCTTTCTCTCCCAGTCATTTGACAAATTGGAACTATATTCATGCACTTGGCTTCTATATTATTGACCAAATTTGATTTGAATAGTCTGGTTTTAAAATTTGTAGTTTACAATTTTGAAATAAAAAATTTATTTTTCATATATTAGTTATTAAACTTAACTTTATCTGACCTCTTACGTGATTTTAAGTCTACTTTGGATAAGCTTACATCTAACCTCTTACATGATTTTAAGTCCACTTTGGAGAAGCTTACAAAATAATGCTTACACTTTGTATAGTATTTTAGCCTTGAAGATCCAAAAGGAGTGCCTGTGAGCGAGACAGAGGAAGGAAAATGGAAAAGGGACTGTTAGATAAAAACATAAAGATGGTATATAATGAAGATCAAGATCATTTACACATAACATGGAGTGTGTTTGCTCAAGAAGTGAAAGAGGCTTGTTATGTAGCAGGGCCTATGGTGGCTGTGAATGCTTCAACCTTCTTTCTGCAAACTATTTCTCTAATGATGGTGGGTCACTTGGGTAAACTTGCTCAGTCTGGTACTGGCATTGCCACCTCTCTTTGTGCTGTTATTGGCTTCAGTGTCATTGTAAGTCACTTATTGTTTTACAAGTGCAGATCTCTTAATTAAGAGTCATATAGCTTCATTTTGCATTGTGAGATTTATAAGGAACTGGTTTTGGTGAGCTTTAAAGGTTTTATTTTTTTAATTTTTATTAAAATCAAAATTATAAAGATTTTAATAAATCTATTTTATTATTAATTTGAACAATATAGATATAATCTGAATGGTCCAACTACATATTAAAAGTTTTCAAAAATTTTATTTTGGTAAATACAATATTAAAAAAAAAGATCATATCCTAATTGGCACTTCAAATAAAATGTCTTTTAGAAAAAGAAAGTTGTGAATTAAAAATTTTAAATCGAAACTATCTAGAACACATCTGGATAGTCAATTTACAAAAATTTACAAAAATTTTAATATTTAATTATACCATTCAGATTAAATTTGTATTGTTCAAATTGGTGATAAAATAAATTTATTAAAATATTTATAATTTTTATTTTAATTCAATGAAAATAGAATAAAAAATAATTCTTTAAATCTAAACAATCTAGATCTCAACACCCTAACGAGCATCAAAATTAGTTTTGGTTTATAGTACTTCTTTTCAATAACTAACAATTATTGCATTTTGGGTTATATATTTTCTACTTTCTTTATAGTTTGGAATGGCTTCCGGACTTGAAACACTGTGTGGGCAAGCCTATGGAGCTAAGCAATATAAGAAGTTTGGCGTTCAAATTCAAACTGGCATCTTCTGTCTTATTTTATGTTGTCTTCCTTTGAGTGTGTTGTGGCTTAACTTAGGGAAGCTACTGGTTTTGCTTGGTCAAGACCCTTTAATTTCACATCAAGCTGGTGAATTTGCAGTTTGTTTGATTCCTGCTCTATTTGGTTATGCAATACTTCAAGCCTTGGTTCGATACTATCTCATGCAAAGTTTGGCTACTCCTCTTCTACTCTCTTCCTTGTTTATTATATGCTTCCACATAGTTTTTTGTTGGACACTAGTTTTTAAATCTAATGTGGGTCGCTTTGGAGGAGCATTTGCTATTGGTACTTCATATTGGTTGAATGTGATCTTACTTGCATTACATATCAAATTCTCTAAATCTTGTGCAAAGACTCGGGCTCCTATTTCCATGGAGCTTTTCCAAGGCATTAGAGAGTTCTTTCAATTTGCTATTCCTTCAGCTATAATGGCTTGGTATTCTTCTATACTCCTCATAATGATATGACTTCCTATGTATTTTATATTATAGCTTTAATATTGATGATATTGATTTGGATGTTTTAGCCTCCAATGGTGGTCATATGAGCTGACTACATTGCTTGCTGGTCTTCTACGACCAAACCCAGAACTTAAAACTTCAATCTTGTCCGTATGGTATATATGCTTTTTTCTAATAGTTTTATTCTAAAAAAATCTATCATAAGTATTGCTTACTAGTTTAAATTTAGAACCATTTTGTATCAAACATTCAACAATATACTTCTAACTAATTCTCTGCACAAATTTGAATCTTATTACAAACAGTGTATCAATGACCGCTACAATCTATTTTATACCAGAATCGGTTGGCTCAGCAGTCAGGTTTGCATCACATAACATCCATCAATACCTTTGATGTATTTTCATTTGCTTTTGTCTCCAATGTTATATATATAATAGCCTATAAATATAAGTGGCTTGTATGTTTTCTTATATTCAGCGCAAGAGTTTCGAATGCATTAGGAGCTGGAAGTCCACAAGCAGCAAGATTGTCAGCCTTATGTTCTAGGATTCTAGCAACATGTCAGGCTATTTTAGTGGGCTCAATCATTTTTGCGGGCCGTAATGATTTAGGTCATGTTTTTAGCAATGAGCTAGAAGTGATAGACAGTGTCGCAAATATAGCTCCTTTTATAGTTATGTCTGCCTTTATGGACTCCTTACAAGGCACCCTTATAGGTAAAATCTTATTTCGTTCCAATGCTATTCAAAACAAAAGTATATATATTCTTGTCGTATTCAAACTCAGGTTTTTTATATGCTTTGAAATCCAGGGATTGCTAGGGGAAGTGGGTGGCAGCACATAGGGGCATATGTGAATTTTGGATGTTATTATGTTGTTGGAATTCCACTTGCTGTAATCTTGGGTTTCTGGGTAGGCATGAGAGGAAAAGGCCTTTGGCTTGGAGTAACGAGTGGTACAATTTGCCAAGTGATTGTGCTATTAACCATAATTAGTCATACAGATTGGATAAAAGAGGTTTGTTATTCACTTTCAAGAATACCACTTCAATTCATTTTATCATTTGAAGCTTGGCCTTTTAATTTTGAGCAACTAAGATTCTGCAGCAACTTTGGAACATTTAATTGGTTCTTCTTTTTATTTTTTTTATTTTTGGTTAAAGAGTAATTTTTCCCTTCAACTATTTGTTTAGAAATGTTTGACATTTTAAACTTTCATGTGATGTAATTTTCTCTTTAACTTTTAAAAATGGTGTATTGAGCATCATGCCATTAAAACAAGTTAATTTTGATTGCTAGATGATCCAAAAAAGTTTTAGAAAAGGACTTCAAAAATTACAAAAAATGACTCATAAAATTACAATTAAGAACTCTATAACAAAAGTAATATCAATTAAATATTTTTTAGTCCTTTCTTTTTTTTTAACAATTTGCAGGTCTTTTGCTGAAATTTTTTGGGTCAACTAATAATTAACGTTAACTATTTAATGGTAGGGTACCCCAATGCACTACATGAAAGTTTAGGATTCTAGATACTCTTACGTGAATAATTAAGAGGCAAAAATACCTTTTACTTTCTTTTCTTTTCTTTTCTTTTTCTTTTTGGTTTGAAATACCATCGATGTAGTTCTTACTTGAAATATTCCCATTGTGGGAGAGCTTGAATTTGCAGGCAAGACGGGCTAGGGAGAGGACATTGCAGAGAGCTTCAGCAAGAAGAAGATGTTTTGGCTTGAGCAGTCAGTGTATTATATATTTGTTGAGCCAATTATCATCTTCTTTGTGCAAAGTGAGATATATGATTGAAATAAAGATGGGCCGGGGATCAAGCTTTCACACATCGACAATTCCTATATTGTCTCCATCAACCTGTAAAGTTGAAAGTTTAATGTAAAGCCACAAGCAATAGCGTGATTTAAACAATGCAGTCAAGTCGTTCAAACATCAATCCGCGTTGGTTTTTCTTGCAATGCTTTTACTTACTTAATTTACCTTTGGCATAAGTAATTTTTGGGTTAAAGATTTTTGCTGGGCAAGAAAAACTTGCATTGGATGTTTGTTGATAAAAATGTTTGTTGGGCGAAGAAAATCACGTCTTTTCTTTTACCTGTTTTTTTTTTTTTTTTTTTTTTGCTTCCATTGGATGTTTGTTGGGTTTAAAATATTAGTTGGGCTACAAAAATCAATTTTGGGTAAAAATCATATTTTTTTCCTAAATAGGATTTTTGAAAAAAAAAAAAAGCACAATTTCTTGCAAACGACACACTAGGCCTCACAAGCAAATTGGACCCAAACGAAACAAACAACATAAATTTTTAACAATAAAAATAGAAAAGCAAACCAACGTTTTTTTTTTTTGCATTTTTTAAAGAAGCCATCATATATCAGGCTTACAAGGAAACTATTAAAGATAGAAAAATAGGTGGGCCTCACCCTTTACAGACAAGCTTATAGGGTTTAGGTTTTAAAGTTTGGCTTCTCAAATTTTGAACAAATCTTGAGGCCCGACCCTTATTGCAAGGGCTCAAGGCTGGGCCTAGAAATTCAGTTTTAAAAAAAATAAAAAACCAATATGATATTTTAGTTTTGTTCTTCTAAATAATAATTTAATTTAACATCACAATATTTAACATTATAATTTAATTCTAGATTTCAACATAAACTAAATCAAGATCTCACATCATCTAGAAAATAAATAAAAGATTTTAAAGTCTAAATACATGTGAGTTGATGCCATAAAAATTCACAACAAAGTTCCATTAGGAGCTAATCACTATTACCTAGTATTAATGATAATTGAGACATCTTCACACACCAATTGAAGAAGACAATTGGATCCAAATTAAAGTAAGGAAGAACAAGGATAGAAGTGGTGAAATTTAATTTTGATAAGTTACTTTGACACTAGGTTGAATTCTACACATTTTTCCTGCGCTCATTTCATATTAAAATCAAATATAAACATCTAGTTTGTCTTTTAAACTCTCAACTTCAATTTTAGATTATTAACTTGTTATGATCATTGGCTTGATTTAGTTGCAAAATGCTAGCTCCTTGATGATAGAATGATCTATGATGTTCTCGCTACTATACCTTGAGTTTTTTGAGAAGCTTGACACAAAAAGGAGTTTTCAATTTCAAGCAAACAATAAGCATATAATCAAAATTTGCTAAACACCGATCATGTACAACTAACACAAACAAAGCAACCTACTAATCTAAAACACAACTCTACCTGTCTCAAACAGGTAGGAAAAGTTGATAAAGCCAATTTATACAAATATGATGATAGGTTTTTTGGCTCTCAAAGTAAATAAGTAAGGAAGTATAGCTTACATATAGAAGAAAAAATAGGAATAAATTGTCTCAGTGAGTATTTTATGTAAATTTCAGATAAAGAAGGCAAAAAGAGAGCAAAAATGCATAAAGATGAAGGAATCATGCCTTTGGTTATGTCCAGTTGTGGAAGAAGTTTGTGAAGTGCTCAACCGGCCGCACATAAGGCCCCCTGGAGAAGCTCAATCACCACTATTCCAAACCGTTAGGGGATGAAGATAATAGGAATGTCCACTGGTCACGGTCGTGAGATGATCTCCCCTCTCAAATGCCCACGGATAACTCGACAGATGAGGGCCCTTCGTGCTTTGACCACGGGCGAATAAAAAGAAAGGAGACCTGACCGGTCATGGATGAAGAATTAGAGACGCGGGGCAACTGCAGAATTAATACTCAATTAAGACATTTAATACAAATGGACCAAGAGGCTTGGGCCTAATGGGCTTTTAGGAATTAGGATGCAAAAACAATGTGAGAAAACTTAGGGAGCCTCATGCAGAGCATTCAAGTTTATGAAGGCTGGGAGGTAGAGCATGAAATTCGAAGGAGTTTTTCTGAATTAGGAGTTTCTCCTCTTCTCTCTCCCTCTTTTTTTTTTTTTTTGAATTTTGTTTATGCCTTTTATTGGAGATTTTAGTTTGAATTATATGAGTTGTTTCCAAACTCCTATTCAAGATAGGGATTGCTAATACGTATTATTTATACATATTTATTAACTAATTAGGACTATTTTACACATATTAAAAGTCTTCATATATATTCATATCTCATTTTTAGTGCAAATTTGCCTCAGTATTTAATTACATGTATTAAGGGTATTTTAGTCATAAAATACACTTTTTCACCAAATTGAGGTTGAGCTTGAGAATTATGTCTTTTAATGGATTAAGATGATTGGTTAAATTAGTTTTTTATTGATTCATTTTAGGTTGAGAGTTATTAGGAAAAGATAACATTTTAATATTGTCTTTCTAAGGGTTTTCAATTAGTCTTTAATTTTGATTCATTTTAGGTTGAGAGTTATTAGGAAAAGATAACATTTTAATATTGTCTTTCTAAGGGTTTTCAATTAGTCTTTAATTTTGATTCAAATGTGTGCTTATCTACACTTATATTATGTGAGGTTTACATATTCATTTTTCCTTAGTCATTTTATTACTTTCGATGAATTAAACATTCTTACATTAGTCCAATTAAATAAATGTCACACTTTAGTTATTTGATTTAATTATAACTTAGATAAATAAATGTGAGAATTGATGACATAATTCAAGACAACTAAATGAGGCTTCTAAAGGACATATTAGGTGTGACATGTGCAAACTTGAGAGGTTCAAATCAGACTTGGAATGATGCATTACATTGGACCAAGTCTAGCTTTGAAATTGTGACCAATTTTCCTCCAATTTGCAAGTAGTTTCGGCCATGTGAGATAATGGTTGAAGACCACAATTACTTTATAAGTTTCCATCACTTTTCTCTCATTTTCTCTTAGCCAATTTTGTGCAAACCAATTCCCTTTCAGATCTCTCACTCATTTTCTCATTTTCAAATATTTTTTCTCACTTTCTCACTTATTCTTCAATTTTTCTATCCAATCAACCATCCACATCTCTCACATTTCTCGTCCAAATCACATAAAACCACATTAATTCTTCTCCTTTTCTAATTCTTGTCCAAAGACTTACATCAAATCAAGGATTGAAAGCTCATATCATCATTGGAAGGAGATAAAGAGGTACAGCCACGTTGGTTCCAACCTTGAAGCTTTGAAAATGATGATTCTTGGCTAGATTTCTCGAGGGATCCTAGAGAGAATATGGATGGATGACAAATCATTAGGCTTCACATGGGTAAGACTTTCTATTCTCTTAGTTTCTCTCATTTGATTTGATGTTTAACATTTTAATCTATAAGAGATACTTGTTTAGTTGATTATAATCTTGTGGATTTGTTGGTTTAGTTTAGCCAAATTTAGTATAATGTATAGTCTTGTGTTTTTCTATTGATATTTATCTTACTTTGCTCTTACATAGTTTTGTGGGTAAGGTTGAGATATTAGAGAGAGCTTTTCATAGTCTTTGGGGTTCACTCTATCCTTCCTAAGCCACTGTTTCACAAGGGTTTTCTAACCTAAACACTTGATTAATCTAAAATCAAACTAGAAAAATAACCTAAGGATGTTAGTTGATGACTTAGGTTATTTAACTAGCTAAATCAAGTTTCTTAAGATAGCCTTCATAAGGAGCTACCACCGGCCAAGAGAAGAAACCACCCACCAAAGCCATAAACAATGAGAGAGATAATGATTCCTTTACATGTAAACTCTAGGGTTCCACTTTATTAAAGGGTATTCACAACATTCACTCTCTAGTCTAGGTTTAAGCAGTTTAGTTCATTGGTTAGTAGCTAACCCCTTCAAACTTTTGGATATAATTTGTTCACCAGGTAACTTTATAATTGAATTGAGATACTTACTAGGGAGATGACTTAGGGTTAATCCTCTACTACATTAGGATTGAGTTTATTATTATTTTGATAGGTGTGCGATTAGCCTTGATCAAGGAGTAGCATGGCTGTGATAGATTTTGCTCTTTATTTAGTTATTTTATTTTTTGCTGAACATAATTTCTTGTTTATGAGAATTTATCATTTTATTTATATTTATCTCCCTTGTTCTATTTGCCTTATTATATAACATGTCTATGGATTGTTTGATATACTGGGAGATGAAGAACTAACATAGACCTAGAGACAAGGACAAAGATAATTGAATGAGGAATAATTTAGAATTTGTGGCCATTTAAATAGTTTTATTGTTGCTCTTATTTTGCATTATTTAAATATTAAATCCTTTTTAAAACTATTATTTTTTAGTAATATCAAAGTTGAATACTTTCTTTTGGGTTTGACTCTTAAAACATCATGAAAATTATTACTAAATTAATCTTGTATATTTATAGAAGTGATCGAGTTTTTGGCGTCATTGCCGCGGGGCAAACACCTTTTTTATTTCCTTAATTTGATTTTTTCTTAAAAAATATTTTCTTGTGTGCTTTTGCATGTTTGCTAGAAGCTGTAAGAGTACAAATGATTCTGCATTCACCCCTATTAGTCATGAAATTGAACGTGCCCGCATAGGAAATATCGCAAGATCAAGAAGCGTGAACAGTTAAAGAAAGAGGAGAAATCTAAGATGGCCACAGCCAATAGCAATGCTCATGAGCCCCTTTGAAAGGGCATCAAAATACCACACGTAATAGTTGGTCCCTCTAATATTTGACTAAGTGCTACAGTCCGCAATGATGAGTTCAAGGCGCACCACTTAAATACTGTCTCTCAATTATAAACATTTATATTTTCTATTAAAGGAAAAATTATACTTAGCATTTTTTACAAGTTATTTATTTTCAATTAAATTATGAGATGAAAACTTTTTTATGCAATCTCTCTCTAGTTTTATTTATAAGTAACTTTTAATATTTTTACTAAAATTAAAAAATATCTTACATTTTATTAACTCTAATTAATAATTTAATAAGTTTTTACTTTTATCCTCATTAAATATGTATATTTTAAAACAAAAAAACTCTAACATATAATAACTT